AGAAGGATATACACAATGAATGGTAGGTCCCTAGGGAGTACTGAGGAACAAAGAGACTTTGGTGTACAAGTCTGCAGATCCCTGAAAGTGTCAGCACAGGTAGACAGCGTGGTGACAAAAGCATACAGGATGCTTGCCTTCATTAGCCAGGGCATAGAATTTAGGAGCAAGGAAGTCTTGGTACAACTTAAAAACATTGGTCAGGCCACAGATGAAATACTGCATGCAGATCTGGTTGTCACACTTTCAGAAGGACATGATTGTTGGGTGACATAGACATGGTGGGCTGAAGGGTTTGTTTTTATGCTGGATGCTATGATTCTATATCAAAACTCTGCTTACTCAACAATGGGCAAACTAGTATGATTGAAGCTATGGTAAAGTCTGCCAATAAATGCATAGTAATTTTGAAGCAAAATACAGTGAGTCAAGGATATAAGTAATGTATTCAAATCAAATGCAGTTACTTCCTGCTAAATGTCTCCAGGCATGATTGATGGAATAGTTACGTAATCATCACCATTCTGGCTGGGGTTTATTTTGTCATTATCTGCAGCCATTTCATCCATGTCTATCTAGTTATCTTGTGTCTTATGATAACTGTTTGGATGTGTAGTGATTGGAACAAGCTGGATCATGTTGACTACGAGATCCTTGAATGGCGTGGTTAACCCAGGCCAATGAGGAAAGCCCTGGCTGATCGATTTAATCAGGAGATTTAGAATCTCCTCGTTTGAGGGGACTGATTCTGAGTTGGCTGGCCACAGCCAGTGTACTGCACACACATAAATAAAGGGTGACTTGGTGATGGTATACCAGCCTCTCTGCAGTTATTTTAGTGGTAGAGGGAGAAAACAGGACATGCCTGAAGAACGTTTGCTTGCAACAGTCATCTTGGAGTTAGGGTAAGCCTTTCTGGCATCATTCCTTTATTTGGGAAGCTTGGCTTGTTTGATCCTGCTGTCAAAGACTGGGCCCAGAATGTGGAAAGAATGCGGTTTTTTTTTTGTTGGGCAGATGAAAAGTAACAAGTAATCCTTCTGACTGCTTGCGGACCCGCAGCATTTCCCAGAGGCACTAGACACTAAAAGCTTCCAAGAGCTGATGGAGCAGTTAAGAATATTACAACCTCAAACCTCCTCTAATTCTGAGACACTATCGGTTTTACTCTACAGTTAGAGAACCAGGGGAATCTGTATCAGGATTTATTGATGAGGTTAAGATGACTGGCAGAGACATGTGATTTTGGGTTAACCTTGAATGAGATGCTGAGAGACCGTTTGGTATGTGGGCTTAATGACATAATCATGCAGAAGTACCTAATAGCTGAAGTCCAGCTGGACTTCAAACAGGCTCTACAACTGGTTTTGTCATTAGAAAATGTGGCAAGTTGAGCATGAGAACTATAGGATATCCCTCACCTCTCTGACTGAGCTTGGGGAACACCACTTGAGTGTAGGCAATTGCAGAGTAAAGCAACCCTAGACCAGCCCACAGGAGAACCCAACAATAAAGTCAAGCGTCAGCCAAGCAGCTAAAAAGTTCTTCAGGATCTGGGCTGGCAAGCCATTGTAGTTGCTACCAGTATGTGGACTCGAGACAGCAAAGGAGTCGTACAAGGCCTGACTTCAGTAAAAAAAAACTTGTAGGCTGGTACCCAGGAGAGTGCAAACCCTCAAAAGTCCCTGTACATATGGGCTAGAACAACTAAATTGCTTAGTGGCATCCAAAGTGGAACCGATTAAAATTAATGCTTGGTTAAACAGTCACCCAGTTCCCATGGAGGTCAATACCTGCGCAGCTGTATCTGTGGTTGTAGAATCTGTCTTTAACTGGTCTTGCTTGGACTCCAACCCTTAACTTTGCACAAGACGTCAGCCAGACTGAGAACATAAACTGGGGAACCGTTGCAGATTAAGGGTGCAATTTCGGTTCCAGTCTCCTATGAGAAGCAGATGATAGTAAAAGGCTTGAGCCCAAGCCTATTGGGCTGGAATTGGTTGAGAAAGATTCACCTAGATTTGCTTAACATGGCTGCCTCAGTGAAGTCCTAGTGAAATACTTGGAGTATTTCAGAAAGGGCTTGGGACTATTAAAGGAGCCAAAGCCACTTTACCTATTGACCAACAAGCAATTCTGTGATTTTGCAAGTCCTGCCCAGTGCCACTTGCTTTGCGGGCAAAAGTAGAGATGGAAATCAGGAGGCTGGAGAGCGAAGGAATCATCAAACCAGTGCAATTTGCAGAATGGGCAACACCAGTCGTATTGATTATGAAGCCTGATGGCTCGGTTTGCCTTTGTGGAGATTTTAAGCAAACAATAAACCGCTTCTTGCAGCTGGATAAATACGCAATTTCTCGCATAGAGGACTAATACATAAAGTTGGCGGGGGGGTGGTGCTGTCCTTTACGAAGCCAGACATGAGCCATGCCTACCTGCAATTGCAAGCAAATGAGGAGTCCCAGACATATGCTACAAGTAATACCTTTAAGGATTTATATCTATATATAAGACTGCCATTTGGGGTATCATCAGCAGCCACCCTTTTCCAGCAGACCATGGAGAACATTTTATAAGAGCTGGCACAGGTCACCATTTATGTGGATGACATATTAGTAACAGGGATGACTTGGAGAACTTCAACATTGTGCTTAAACATTTCTCCCGGGCAGGCGTATACCTTAGAAGAGAAAAATGTATGTTCCAGGCACTCCAAGTGACCTACTTCCATTAGAGTCGACAAAACCAGGTTACATTTTTTGGAAGGCTCCCATGTCTGTGCCAGAGCTAAGGTCTTTCCTTGGGTTAGTGAATTATTGCAGAAAATTCATACGTAACCTGGTGTCCATTTTGGCACCCTTACACCTGCTACTGAAAAAGGGTCAGCCTCAGAAATGGTCGTATAGCCAAGAAGTAACCTTTAGGGAAGTGAAAAAGCAGCTATTGTCATCTAAGATATTGGCCCACTACGATCCAAAACAAGAGTTTGTGCTGATGTACAATGCCTCCCCGTACAGCATTGGGGTAGTGTTGGCTCACCAGTGGTACATCAGAGAAATGCCCAATAGTGTATGCTTACCAGACTTTGCAAATATGCCCAGAGAGATAAGGAAGGTTTGGTGGACATCCTTGGTGTGAGGAAGTTCCACCAGTACCTTTATGGATGGGAATTTGTCATAAGAGATCACAAACTCTTGCTGTGGCTACTGAAGAAAGACACGTTTGTGCTTCCCTTAGCTTCCAGTAGAATTCAGCATTGGGCCCTTATCCTCAGCACATGCAAGTACAAGTTAGAACACTGTCCTGGTAGCCAAGCAGCTAATTTGGATGCCTTGAGCCGCCTCCCACTGGCAGATACTCCACCGGTGATGCCACCCCTGGAATAGTCTGTTTTGGTTTTAAATGTCCTGGACACCCTTCTAGTCGCCAATGACAATGTCTGACTGTGGATACAAAATCCTTTCCCAGTGAAACTAAAACAACTGGTGGTAACGGGGAATACAGAAGGGCCATCACAACGAGCAGTGAAACGTTTCTGGACCTGGTGAGACCAGATCACCATAGAGGATGGCATATTACTGTGGGGAGCAAAGGTGATTGTCCTGAGTAAAGGTCACCGCCAGATACTGGCTGAACTCCACCAGGGTCATCCAAGGGTTTCCAAGGTGAAGATGCTAGCAAGAAGCCATGCCCAGTGCTTGGGGTTGGGTGCTGACATAGTTATGTTGGTGGGGCAGTGCCTAGTCTGCCAACAAGGACAAAAATTGCCACCAGCAGTAGCACAACATTTGTGGGAATGGCTGAGAAACCCTGGATTATGCCAGTCCTTTCTGGGTTTAATGTTTCTGGTCAATGTGGATGCCCATTCAAAGTGGTTGGATGTACATAAAGTTCATTCAGCTAACTCAGGGATGACAATTGAGAAGCTGCAAGTATTGTTCATGATACATGGTATCCCAGAAGTATTGGTCAGGGACAATGGGACCTTATTTACCAGCGAGGAATTCGATTATTTCATAAAGTCAAATGGCAATTGGCACATAAGGACAGCTCCATACCAGCCATCGTCCAATGGTTTGGCAGAACGAATGGTCCAAACGTTGAAGGAAGTCTTAAAGAAGCAGCCTACAGCATCACTTCATACCAAACTGTCCCAGTTCCTGTTTGATTATAGGACCACCCTGCACTCAACAACAGGGATAGCTCCAGCAGAGTTGCTGATGGGGAGAAGCCTCTACACTGGGTTAAACCTGACATTTGCAGACATTGGGGGCCAGGGTGAAATGGCAGCAGGAGTGCCAATGCCAGCCACATGCTTCCTGTAAGCTAGAGACAATTTAATTCAGGGGACGAAGTTTTGTGCCGGAACCGTGGAAATGGCCCTGTACGGGTACAAAGCGAGATTGATGTGAGGTCAGGTCCCGTGACTTTTAAAACTCGGGTGGGTGATACAGTCCTGAACAAACACGCGGATCACCTGAAAGCTGTTACTTTGCAAACAGGGCAGGAGCAAAACATACCTGGCCCCTCAGCAGCCAGAAGGTCTGTCAGAAACAGTAGGTTCTCTCCCTCCATCCGGAGTTGAGGAAACCTCTGAGCCCAAGATGGATGCAGCCTCAATACTGTTACTGCTGGCAGAAATGGAGGAAACTCTCCCAAGACACAACAGATGCAAAAGACAGGCTATGGTCCAGTACACGCTGCCCATGTCAGAGTGAGTCAGAGATAGCAGACCTGGGGCGAAAACATCAGAAGAAAAACTACAAGAGAAAGACCAGGCCTATATCTCTGGACTTAGGAGGGGAGGAATGTAGTGATTGGAACCAGCTGGATCTTGTTGACAACAAAATCCTTGATTGGGGTTGTTAACCTGGGCCAATCAGAAAAGCCTGTGACCAATATTAACAGGAGATTTGGGTGTGCTGTACCTCAGTGGGTGTACTGTGTCTTTGTGTTTGGAGTATGTTGGCTGACCGGCGTTCCTGCTGGCTATCACGGAGGTCTTAGACGACGGCACGCGGGAGGGGCTGGACCGGCCGCTATCCCTGGACGAGCTGACCAGAGCCCTCAGGTCCTTTGAGAGGAACAAGACTCCCGGGAGCGATGGCCTACCGGTGGAGTTGTATTCCGCTCTGTGGGATTTGGTTGGCCAGGACCTGCTGGAGGTGTACGACAGTGCGCTTCGGGCAGGGGAAATGTGCAAGTCCATGAGGAAGGGCATCATTACCCTCATTTACAAGCGGAAGGGGGAGAGGGAAGAAATTAAGAATTGGCGACCTATTTCGTTGCTGAATGTGGACTACAAGATCCTGGCCAAGGTCGTAGCGAACCGGGTCAGGTCTGTTCTGGAGTCGGTGATTCACCCTGACCAAACCTGTGCTGTGCCGGGCAGGAAGATCGCTGAGAGCCTCGCGCTCGTCAGGGATACGATCGCCTACGTGCAGGACAGGAGGGTGGACGCCTGCCTTGTCAGCCTGGACCAGGAGAAGGCCTTTGACAGGGTCTCTCATGTATACATGAGGGACGTCCTCTCCAAATTGGGGTTTGGGGAGGGGATCTGCAATTGGATCCGACTGCTCTACACCAACATTGTTAGTGCAGTCTCGATCAACGGGTGGGAATCCGACAGTTTCCCTGTCAGATCTGGAGTCAGGCAGGGCTGCCCACTCTCTCCTGCCTTATTCGTGTGTTGTATGGAGCCCTTCGCCGCGTCCATCAGGAAGGACGTGAGCCTGAAGGGGGTGACGATCCCAGGCAGCGGAGGCCTGCAGGTCAAGACCTCCCTGTACATGGACGACGTCGCCGTCTTCTGCACCGATCGCCGGTCGGTGAGTAGGCTGTTGGACATCTGCGGCCAGTTCGAACTGGCCTCGGGTGCCAAAGTCAATAGGGGTAAGAGCGAGGCCATGTTCTTTGGCAACTGGGATGACCGCTCCTTCATCCCCTTCACCATCAGGACAGACTACCTGAAGGTGCTGGGTGTCTGGTTTGGAGGAGCTGGGGCGTGCACTAAAACTTGGGAGGAGCGCATCTCGAAGCTGGGCAGGTGGGTGCACCGGTCTCTCTCCATTGCGGGTAAAAACCTGGTCGTCAGGTGTGAGGGGCTTTCGGTACTGTTGTACGTGGCGCAGGCCTGGCCTATCCCCCGGACTTGCGCCGCTGCGGTTACCCGGGCCATCTTCCACTTCATTTGGGGGTCGAGGATGGACCGGGTCCGCAGAGACACCATGTACAAGGACCTGGAAAACGGGGGGAAGGACGTGCCGAACGCCACCCTCACCCTGATGGCTACCTTTGTGTGCGGCTGCATCAAGCTGTGCGTAGATCCTCGGTACGCAAACACTAGGTGTCACTACCTACTGAGGTTCTACCTGTCCCCGGTGTTGCGAAGGATGGGCTTGGCCTCGCTGCCGCGGAACGCTCCAAGTAGTTGGACCGTCCCGTACCACCTGTCCTTCGTGGAGAAATTTGAAGGGAAACACCTTTGACCACAAGGCCGTCAGGCAGTGGTCAGCACGTAGCATCCTTGAGACCCTTCGGGAAAAGGAGAGGGTGGATCCTGTCGGGTGGTTCCCCTCGCAGACTGCCAAAGTCGTTTGGCAGAATGCCTCATCGCCAGAACTTTCTAACAAGCACCAGGACATTGCTTGGCTGGTGGTGAGAGGAGCTCTGCCGGTGAGATCATTCATGCACGCCCGGGCTCTCTGCGCCACTGCACGCTGCCCTCGAGGTGGCTGCGGGGGTGACGAGACAGGCGCACTCCAGAAGGAGGTGATAGACTATGCGCAGGAGGTCTGGAGGGGAATGCAGTGGTTTGTGTCGAGGTTCATCCCGAGCAGCTCCGTGACACGGGACTCCGTGCTCTACGGGCTGTTTCCCGGGACGCACACCGAGACCAACATCAACTGCGCCTGGAGGACCATCAATGCGGTGAAAGACGCTCTCTGGTCTGCCCGTAACTTGCTGGTCTTCCAGTTGAAAGAACTGACCCCGACCGAGTGTTGCAGACTGGCGCACTCCAAGGTTCAGGACTACGTGTTGAGGGATGCACTAAAGCTTGGGGCAGCCGCCGCCAAGGCGCGGTGGGGAAAGACCACCGTGTAAGACCCCTCGGCCGTACCGTATTAGGGCCCTGTTCAGAAACTGGGCCCAGCTGGCGCCTCCTCCAACTGGTCAGGGGGTCAACTATGACTACGGTAGTGATGACCACCGGAGTTTTTCTCTTTTTTTCCTTTGTTTTTCCCTTTAGTTGGTGTATGTACCCCCAGGGTAATCCGGGATGGCTTGGATGACCGGGTAGGTGAAAGTGTTTATTTTTTTGTATTTTCTATGAATAAAGTATATTTTTTTAAATAAAAAAATGTTGGCTGACCGGCTGACCGGCACCACTGTTTGAACTGAACAACATTTCTATATGGTATCTTGTGTCAATGTCTCTGCTTTTTGGTGAATTGCCTGCTATACAATGACCTTACCATGTGTTGTGTCTGGTCCACTTATTTTTGATGTATTGTGACTGACATGTGCAGTCTGTGACACAAACTTATTGCCTCAGTTCATGGGATTGAATTTGAGCTGGCAGGCCACAATGAGTGTACTGTGCACAAGTAAATAAAGGATGATTTGGTGATGGGATACTGGCCTCTGTGCAGTAATTTCAGAATGGAATTGGGGTGAATTTCTTTGGCTATTTCCTCCATTGTACTAGCAGGGGTCTGGAAAATTATTTGCCATGAGACTGGATCCCATGTTTTTCAGATTGGATCTTGTATTTGGCTGTGTTGCAAAGCCTGCAAGGATTCCTATGTTGGGAGTTCCCAGTTCCTCCTCCATAAGACACTGCAAGGAATAAAAGCCTCAAGATAAATCTGAGGCATTCCAGCCAGAAAGTTCATGTGATGTCTAGGTCAGTAAATTTAAGTACAATTAGGGCAGATTTTGAGTTTAGATCTTAGCTTCTGCAAGCTTTTGGGTTCATTTTCTGCCTTCATTTCAGAATCAACAAAAAGCAAGAATGCTGCTGTGCAAATTACCATCCTTAAACAATGTGCACATAACCCCCAATTATGCCTGTTCACTAAATAACACCATTGTGCCACGTTAGTCAGTTAGAAAATCCCCTTTTATGTGAGCAGTGTAGAAACATGTAATTGATATATTCATTTTTTAAGCATAAATACTATAATATTTGAAACTTCAGACCTGAGCAACTATTTCTTTGTCATTCATTATGCCTCAAATAAAATGTCCTTATAAATAACTTTAGAGCAAGCAATGGCAGAAGCTGTGAGCTTGTTGGCTGGTTATATGGAATAATGTTTATCCTTAGTTTGTAGCTTGATGGGCTAAGCCTTTTTAATAATTTAATTTGTTTTGTTTGAGATTTATTTTTTACTCCAGTGCAAACAGAACTTTCCTTGGCATAAAATGCTATGAGAACTGAGTTAATGCCATCTATTGAGATACAGAATAAATACAATGACATTGTTAATGTCAGGTTCTCCACTCTGTTAATTTGAATAGTACTAAATTGGTGTCTTGTTGTCAACTATGATTTGTAAATTGACATTTAATTTTCTTGTCTGCTTTTCTTTCCTCATGAGAGGCAACATTCTCTCAGCATCTACCTCCCAAGATCTCCCAGAATCAACACAGGTAGTAATCTGGAGTCTGATAAGGTCAGTCTTCATTCTTCTAAACTCAAATGAATATAGATCCAACCTGCTCAACTCTTCTTCAAAACAACTCCTTCATTCTATGAATCAATCCAGTGACCTCTTTGCACTGCTTCCAATACAATGACTGACTGATTAGAATGAGAAAGGGTATTGTACATTATCCCTGTGATTTGTGGAGAAGGGTGTGATAAAAGTCTCCTAAGAAATAGGAGTAGAATGAGATCACTAGCCCCACAAGGCTGCTCCACTATTCAACATGATCATGGCTTATCTGCCTAGGTCTCGGCTCTCTTGCCAGTAAGTGTTTGTGCCACACAAATTTTCTAAGTTCTGAGAATGTGGTGGAGGATATGGGCATGATTTGGAGTAGCAAGCTGATACCGAGGGGAAGGTTTGGTGCTATCTTTGTGTATCTCATTTTGAGAAATTGAAGTATAGTGACCTGATCTCGTCCTACTCTTGCTGGTCAGGTCATGAGGTATTCATTGCATCTGTGAATGTGTTACTACAGCTCACTAACTCTGCCACTGCCTGTTGAAACCATGAAAAGATCTTCTTTCCACTAGATTAAAACAAGGTACCCCTTAATGTCTTCAGCTCTTCAATAAGAACCACCCTAAATGCATGTGAGAACCTAAGGGCTTATTTCTGACTCCTCTGCTTTTCAGATGGTTACAGACAACCAGCTTCTATGTTAAAATGTTTTTGAAACGTCAGCAATGTGAATGTAGGCACTCTAAGAGTGCCTACAAACAGTATTGTTCTTATCAACCATCCTGCTATCTCCTAGGATGGATTTAAAAATATCTTTCATTATGAAATCTATGCTGCTTGCCTTTCTTAACCTGCACTTATTCATGTAGCTAGTAATCTTGTCCCAAATTATTGTTTCTGGAAGCTTTCCCACCACCAAAGTTAAAATGGCTGGCCCTCACTGGATCATCTTTAGGCAAAGATCCACAAAGACATTTTGTGGAACCACAAGGGATCAGTGAGATAGTAAACAAGCATTTTGTATTAGCACTTGCTGTGAACAAGGATATGGCAGCTAGAGAACTTAAAGAAATAAACAGTGATATCTTGAAGTGTCTATATTAGAGGAGGGAGTGGTGGATCTCTTAATGCATAAATATGGCAAAATCACTGGGACCAGATCAGATGTATCTGAGAATGTTGTGGGAAACCGGGGAAATGATTGCTGAGATTTGCGTCATTAGACAACAATGAGGTGCTGGAAGACTGGAGGATGGCTAATTTTGTGCCATTACTTAAGAAAAGCCAGAGAACTATAGACTGGTGAGCCTGTGATTGGTAAGTTGATGGAGCTTCTGAGGAACAGGATCTACACATATTTGGAAAGGCAAGGACTGATGAGGGATAGTCAATATAGCTTTGTGTGTGGGAAATCGTGTCTCACTAACTTGAGAGAATTTTTTTAAGTGATAAAGAAGATTGATGAAGACAGTGGTGGACTCTGGTTTCCAGCAACACGTTCAAAAAGGTTCCCTATAATAGACTGATTAACAAGGTTAGATCACATGGAATCCATGGAGAGCTAAACATTTGAATACAAAATTGGCTTTAAGGTAGGAGACAGAAGGTGGTGGTAGTAGAGGGTTGCTTTTCAGACTGGAGGCCTGTGACGAGCAGTGTGCTGCAATGATTGGTGCTGGGTTGACTGCCTTTTTCACACTATTTTTCATTTGTGGGATGTGGTCATCACTAGCTTGTCAGCATTTGTTGCCCTGAGGAAAAGATGGTGAGCTGCCTTGAACTGCTGTAGGTTGACCCATATTGCCATTAGGGAGAGATTTTCAGATTTTGACTGTGACAATTAAGGAGCAGCAATATATTTCCAACTTGGAGGGGATCTTGAAGGTAGTGATGTTCCCATGTATCTGCTATCCTTGTCCTTCCAGATGGAAGTGGTATGGGTTGGGAAGATGCTGTCTGAGGATCTTTGAATTTCTGCAGTGCATCTTGTAAATAGTACATATTGCTGTGACAGATAGGGAGTGGATGCTTGTGGATGTGGTGTCAACCAAATGGGCTGCTATGTTCTGGATGGTGTCAATCTTGTGGCGTTGGGGCTGCAATCATCCAGGTAATTGGGGTATTCCATCACATTCCTGACTTCAACTTTTGTAGATCACCGACCAGGCTTTGGGGAGTAAGGTGAGTTACTTGCTGCAATATTCCTAGCCTCTGACCTGCTCTTGTAGCCACTGGGTTTATGGAGTGGCATCACGACAGAGTGGATAGCACTGTCTCACAGCACCAAGGACCAGGGTTCAATTCCAGCTTCAGGTGACTGTGGTGTTTGCACATTCTACTCGTGTCTGCAAGGGTTTCCTCTGGGCATTCCTGTTTCCTCTCAGTTCAAAGATGTGCAGGTTATGTGGACTGGTCATGCTAAGTTGTCCATTGTGTCCAAGGATGTGCAGGCTAGGTGGATTAGCCATGGGAAATGCAACGTTACAAGGATAGCATTGGGGGCTGGGACCAGGTGGAATGCTCTTCAGAGAGTTGGTGTGAATGCCATGGGCCAAATGCCCTACTTCCATGCTGTATGGATTCCATGACTCAATGTAGTGAGTCCAGTTGAATTTCTGGTCAATAACTCCCAGGAAGTTGATTAGTGGGGGATTCAGTGATAGTAACAGCATTGAATATCAAAGGGTGGTGGTTAGATTCCCTCTTATTGGAGATGGCCATTGCCTGGCATTTGTGTGGCACAAATTTTATTTGCCACTTGCCAGTCAAGGTCTGGATATCACCCAGATCTTGTTGCATTTGGACACAGACTGCTTTAGTATCTGAAGAATCACCAGTAGTGCTGAATATCATACAATCATCAGTGAATATCCCCACTTCTGACCTTGTGATGGAGGGAAGGTCACTGATCCAACTTAAGATGGTTGGGTCTAGAACACTAACCTGAGAAACTCATCCAGAGATGCCCTGGAGGCAAGATGACTGACCTCCAAGAACCACAATTGTTGTCCTGTGTCAGTCTGACTCCAACCTTTGGAGGGTTTGCCCTCCAATAATCATTGATTCCAGTTTTGCTCTGGCTCCTTGATGCCAAACATGGTCAAATGCAGCCTTGATGTTAAGGGCTGTCACTCTCATCTCTCCTGGAATTCAGCTCTCTTGTCCATGTTTGAACCAAGGGTCCACTGAAGTCAGGAGTGGAATAGTTCTGGCAGAATGCAAACTGTGTTGCTGAGCAGGTGCTGATTGATAAATCTGTTGATGATACCTTCCATCACTTTACTGATGACTGAGGAGACTAATGAGGTGGTAATCTGTCGGGTTGGATTTAACCTGCTTTTTACATACAGGATTTTCCACATTGTCAGGTACATTGCCAGTCTTGTAACTGTACTGGAAAGGCTTAGCAAGGGGAGCAGCAAGTTCTGAAGCAAAGTCTTGTGTACTATTGTCAGGGGCCATAGACTTTGCAGTATCCAGAGTCTCCAGCCGTTTCTTGATATCATGTGGAGTTAATTGATTTGGCTGAAGACTGGTATCTCTAATGCTGGGGACCACTAGAGAAAACTGAGATGGATCATTCCACACGGCACTTCTGACTGAAGACTGCTATGAAACCTTCAG